AAATATGTAAATAATAAAGTCCAAGTGAGTAACATTAAGTAACTCCAGCTGACATCTTTAAACAGTGACAAACGGAAAAGCAAGTCACAAGTGCAAAGGGAGCATTAACGATGCCCAGGAACTAGAAACCAGGTATAGACACCATTGTTGTGAACACTGCAGACATGGGCCTTTGAAGAACCCCAGACATGTCTGTCAGGGAGGCTGATGCTACCAACCAGACCAATCAAACAAAAGCATGCATGGTTTCACATTCCATGGAGTTAGCAGGTCACTTCAGTAATATCCTCTCACAAACATTTCCTAGTGAAATGTTCTAGAATAGTTAGCCCACAACTATGCTGTGGGGAAACATTGCCAAATTTGAAAAGTGATATTCAATCCTTCTGTCTGCATGGCATTGTTTGAAAGTAAAGCTTGGTGCAAAACAGAATTTCATGAGTTTTTATCCCCACCCTATATGTACAAAAATTGTTTACAAACAGGGAAGGCACTGAGCTGGCTACAAAATCTTCCTTGGCTCTGTACCAAACCATCCCACTTGGATAGAGTTGCCAAGCATTTCCCTCAGTGTAAGATCTGGCTGCCCCCCCAGTGTTGCCATGGAGATCATTAAAGAAGGGAGCAATCTGGTCAGTGACACAAAGTGACACACACCTACCTTTGGTTTTCCTCAGTTCCTCCACAAGGCACCGTGCTTCCTCTTGAACACGGTCCTCAATGCTCCTCTTCCCCATGCCAAAATTCCGCAGGGTCATGATGGAGAAACGCCGGATCTCCTTCCATTTCATCCCATTGCTGAAAACGATTCCTACAACAATGGGAAACAAGAACTAGTCAGGAAGCAGACAAGGAACTGGCAAATGAAACTATCTGGATGGCCCAGAAGAGCTCATCCTGCCTCATCTGCATGACCAAGGCCCAACTCATGCATGCACACATTGTCTTCACACTTACCAAGGCCTTTGTTTACTTTTTCAGATACTGGAAAACTGCCTCTTCCAGCAAACTCCTCCCCATGGTCTATCAGAGCTTCCTTCACGGCTTCATACCCATGCAACACCACAGAGGGCTTCATGCCCATGTACAGGGTGAACACAGGGCCATAGACTTTTGAAAGCTGGAAAATTGGGGGAAAAATTCAAATAACAGCAAAAGTAAAATCAGGATGTAGCCTACATATTGTACATGATCTACTGATGTCATTATACTGTTGATTTTTTTTTGTTCCTATAAAACAGGTTCAAATGTTGCTGTATTTCATACATAAAAACCATGCTGCCTGTTATAGATGTCACAGGCAGAATGTCCCCCATTTGCCAAGAATGTATGAGGGAAATCCTATATAGATCATCACAACTAACCAATACCTTGAGCTACATTTATTAATTTTACAGCTAAAGAGACTGAGGCTCGAAGAATTTCCAATTCATCTCAGTATTACATAAGTAAAAGATGCAAATTTGAACCCTGCTTAGTGAATCTCTGTTTCCTGTGCAGTCAGCCGCTAAAGTCCACACTGGATAAAATCCAGCTGCTATTGAACTTGCTTCAAGATCACTTTTCCGGGCATTCTGTGACTAAGAATTAGAAATCTACAATTTTTTCCGTCCCTTGGGACTGAGGAGATGGTTCTGTAAACGTTTTCTCTGCAATCATGAGAACTGGACTAGAACCCAGCATATACATAAAAAGCTCACTGTTCTCAGGTCAATAATCCCAGCCCTAGAAAGGCAGAGACTGGAGGATCCTGGGGCTTGAGTCTTGATGGTCAGCCAGACTAGCCAATCACTGAGCTCTAGGTTCAGTGACCTACTTTGCCTTGAAAAATAAGATGGAGAAACAATTGAAGACACTCGACTTCAACCTCTGGCCTCTTCACCCATACACAAAAACACCTACACACACACAAACTCAGAGAGAGAATGTATATGCATTATAGCATTCCACTGTTCCTGACAATGGCACTCTAAATATAAGAACCTTTGGAAATAGTTGCTTTACAATAAAATAGTTAAATAATAGCTGAGATTAAATTCCTTTTTGTAATCTAATAGAGGAGCTTGAAAAGCACTTACTTTGTTTAAAGATTTGCTGATGTCCTTCACATCTATCTGCAGGATGTTTCCAATAAATGGGAGAGGAGTGGGGCCAGGAGGGAGCTTCCCTCTCCCAGAGCTCTGTCTCCAGAGTGAGAGGAGAAGCAGACAGGAGACAGTGAGCACCAGGACCAGGACTGGCTCCATGGCAGCCTTCTCTTCTTAGGGAGACACCTGTGAGCTTGCAGTCCAGAGCTTTTATAATGCTAGCTGCTAACTCAACGTGTGCCTCTGAGGTGTAAGTGACCAATCAGCGAGGTTTTCTCTAATCTTTCTTCTTTGTGGACTCTGGCCTGTTGAAACATACAAACGGAAGCTGTTCCTCACTCTTACTCACTACTCTTCCACCTTGGAAGCCTGTCGGAACTGGCCCAGGGTGGGACCCATTTACTGTTCTTCTTTTTTTTTTTTTTTTTTTTTTTCCACTACAGATGATTCCAACATGCAATCTAAACTGGAGGGTAATGAAGTCAATCATTTGGTCAAAAGATTGTTCAAACATTGAAGGCAAATCATATACTTATATATAATGTTTACTCAGTCAAGTTTCCCAGTGATTGCAATACATGCCTTGAAAATGAAGCTGTTTTAAAACATGCTTTAAGTGTGCTGTAGTAACACTAGAGTTGATTCATCACCAGTTAAGCCACATAATTAACTCAGTAAACACACACATCTTTTGCCATTTGATATCCTACAAGGCCCTTTCTGGCAGAGGATACTCTTTTCCCTGCTCGGAGAGTGCCAGATAACAGAACGGTATTGGCACAGTTCGTGGACATCACTCAGGATGTACACAACACTGACATTGACAAAATGAGGCTCCTGTTCTCTAGAGATTAAATCAATAATACAGTTTCTCCTTTTCATTCCCTCAGGAGGGGAAACTCTCTCAGCTAACTGAGGGTCCCAGGCAAAGCCGCATGCACATTATCCTCATTTCCTCCCATGCTGTGCTGTCTGGGGTTTACAGAAGGATAACACAAATCTGTACTCTCCCCTCTTTCTGTGTGACTTTTCTTACTATTATGCTATGCCCAGGTGCTGTGGTCTCTCACCTGATTTCTTTAGCTCCTGTGGCCGTGTTTTCTTGTGTGGGTACTTGTTTAGAAGGATGATGCTCTTGGGGAAAGAGTGTTGATTGCTGACTATTCCACCATCTTGCTCAGTCTCTGCAGAAGAGCCACGTCTCTGGATTATCTTCCTCATTCCTCAGCAGCAGGAAGTCTAGAAACAACAGCTGCTTCCGTCGAGATTTGGCTTGTTACCATTTGGGATGAAGAAACACAATAACCCAGAGCAGACGGGATTTTCAGAGTTAGCTAGCCAGAGTTCAGGCATGTGCTGCTGGGAGGGAAGGAACAGGGACTTCAGCATACAGATCCACTGCCCTGAGGACCACACAGTGAGCTGGACCGCAAGGATGCAGAGCTTTCACACAGGCATGGCATGCAAAGCTATTGCTATATCTGCCCTAAATTAACCACTATAGGAAGTTGTTTTTAAATATTTTAAATTTATTTTTATTTTATGTTTATGGGTGTGTTGCTTGCACATATGTCTATGTTGAGGGTGTCAGAAGCCATGGGTAAGCTGCCATGTGGGTACTGGGAATTAAGCCCAAGTCCTCTGGAAGAGCAGCCAGTGCTATTAACTAATGAGCCATCTCTCCAGCCACCTTGAATTTTTATTTTTATTGACAATATTTAAAGTATACAATATGATACTCTGATATACATGTTTAAGTGATTACTATAGTCAAACAAAGGGACATAATCCACCACCTTACACCAGTTACTTTTTCTTTCAAGCAAGACTGTGTTCTAGAAGGGAGAACCTAAATCTGTCCTTTCTCCCCCATGTTTTCTTGTGTGGGTAGTTGCAATGAGTTTTATTATTATGCTATACCCAGATGCTAAAGTCTATGGAAGAGGCATACAGCTCAGTAATAGTCTGTCCAGTATATGCAAGGCCTTGGGTTCAATCTACTCACAACACACACACACACACACACACACACACACACACACACACACACACACACACACACA